GAGGGAGAGGATCCTGGGCTCTGGGTGGAGGAGGGGAGGGGATGCTGGCCTCTGAGCCTGCAGTGCTGACCCGGGACGGCGTCAGGCGCCGTGTGCCCTCTGGGGCTGACCGGCACAGGTCTCCTTCCTCCTGCAGTCTGGCCTGGCTGGTTGCTGGGCCCTGAGCGCTCCTTCTCTGCTTAGGTTCACAGAGTGTTTCCAAATGGGCTAGCCTCCCAGGAAGGCACCATTCAGAAGGGCAATGAGGTTCTTTCCATCAACGGCAAGTCCCTCAAGGGGACCACGCACAACGATGCCCTGGCCATCCTCCGCCAAGCGCGAGACCCACGGCAAGCAGTGATTGTCACAAGGAGGCCGGCTCCAGAGGCCTCGCCTGGCCTGAGCCCCTCCAGTGACTCTGCGGCAGCACCCTCTGCAGCCAGCGATGTCCCTGCAGAATCCGGTGAGTTCTCCCAACTCAGCAGGTACGGGGGATGGGAGGATGCGTCAGAGGCAGTCCTGGGGGCTGCCCGGTCCTCTGTGGCCCTGGCGACATGTGTCCTACCTCAACTGTGGCCACGATGCATGCCACTGCTTGCCTAGGGGCCCAGGACGGCAGGCAGCGTCCCCCAGGCTCGGTGCCATGGCCCTGGGAGAGAGGGGCGGGTCTCTAACCAAGCCCTGTGGTTTCCCCAGCAACGGAGGCTGCCATCTGCACCGTGACCTTGGAGAAGACCTCAGCAGGGCTGGGCTTCAGCCTGGAAGGTGGGAGGGGCTCGCTGCGCGGAGACAAGCCCATCACCATCAACCGGATCTTCAAAGGTGCGCGTCTGGCTCGAGCTGTGGCCATGGGAACAGGTCCCAGAGTGGCCTGGGTGGTCTCTCCACCACCTCCACCCAATGTGAGAGGCGAATGGGCCTATTGAGTGAGGGCCAATTCTGCCTTTTCACCCTTTCCTCCTTTGCTCGGGTACCCTCTGAACCCCTCTGCTTTGTGGGGTCCTCCTAGTGACTGAGCCCTGGGCTTGGTTCAGCTCAGCAGGGCTGGGACTGGAGTGAGGCAGGCACGAGAAAAGCGGAAGTGGGTTTCAAAGCGCACAGAAGTCGAGATCAGTACAATTTCGAGGCAACATTTTTTTTAACAGGATTTATTTTTATTTGAAAGGCAGATTGAGAGAGAGAGAGAGAGAGAGAGAGAGAGAGAGAGAAATATCTTCCATCCACTCATTTATTCCCCCAAATGGCTGCAATGGCCAAAGCCAGGAGCCAGAAACTCCATGTGGGTGCCAGGGCCAAGTGCTTGGCCCTCTTCCGCTGCCTTCCCAGGAGCATTTGCAGGGAGCAGAGCAGCTGGGATTCGGGTTGGGATGCTGGCATGGCAGGCAGTGGCTTAACCCACTGGGCCATCACGCCAGCCCCTCGAGTCAATATTTTAAAAACTCAAAAATGAATTTTTAAAGTCCATAGTGAACAAAATATTTAGGTAGAGTCAGCCTTCCTTGGTCCTGGATTGGCCTTCACTGAAAATGTTGACACTTTGTTCACGATTGGGGTGCAAACCAGTGCCTTTCCCCTGGAAATCATGTGCCACCTGCAGCCATTGTGGGAAACCGCCCCTCCCCCGACCCCTGGCTGCTCCTCAGGCCGGAAGCCCCCAAGGCCCATGCAAGGGGTTGTGGACACAGGGACACTGGATGGGGAGTCCAGGGGTCAGGGGCCAGGCCCCTGCTGTTGTCTCTAACAGGCTCAGTGACCTTTGCACTCCAGGCCCAAGGCTCCTCAACCAAAACAAGGGGCCAAGGGGCACGGGTGCAGCTGGTGGCTCTCAAAACTGGGACCCAAAAGGGCCTCCTGCTCCCTGTGCCCCACAAGCTCTGGCACAGGACCGGGTTTGTTGTTGGAGGAACCGTCTTTGACATGGAGGCCCAGAGGGAAGCCTGGGGTGGATACAGTGGTTCCCCTAGAACCCATGTCCCCAGTGGAAGATAGTTCTGATTTTGAAGTTGGGTTTGGAATGATCTTGTTAGTTCCAAAGTCAGAAGACCTGGACTGCAGCTGATTCTGCCATCGTTGGCACCATGACCTTGGGTTAAGTCTCAACAGCATCCTGGGCCCATTTGCTTAGATGGGGAAGCCCCCACCTGCTGCAGGTGGTGTGGTACCAAGAGATGGCCTCAGGGAACAGGAAGGCTGAGTTCACACCCAGGCCCTGCCACCTAGCACGGAGATGAGCGATGGAGGTTGTTGGTGCAGAACACGGCACAATGCCCGCGATAACAACCGCCCAAGACACCCGCGCCGCAAGTCCTGACTGCCATCACCTTATACTCTTGCTCAGTGTTGGTGTCAGACAGACAGGAAACTCCCTGTCGGCATCCACAACAAAACAGCGCGGCTTCCCCAGGAGGCCGGGGAAGAGCAGGTGCCGCTCACCAGGGCCCAGGTCTCCTCTCCAGGCTGCCCACAACCCACCAGTCTAGCAAGGCCACCGAACAGGAATCTCTCCAGCTCTCTGCTCCTGCCTCCCCCCACACAAGTGACCAAAATCTCCCTCCCAGGGGGAACGGCACGGGCTGTACCTTGCCAAGAACCAGAGAGCAGAGGCTGCTGCCCCCTTCTCTGTGGGTCCCCCTTCCCCGAGACGCCTGGTGGCAGAACCCACACCAAGCCCCCAAGGCAGGGGTGCTCTGCTCTCTTGCAAACCGTGCTGTGTCCTTGGACACCGAGGACAAGCCGCTTTCCGTGTTCCCCGAGCACCCAGTGTCACTGTTTCCTCCCTCACTGCAGGGGTAGCGTCGGGACCGAGTGCGACACTCCAGCCGGGAGACGAGATCTTGCACGTGGCCGGCACCGCCCTGCAGGGCCTCACCCGCTTCGAGGCCTGGAACATCATCAAAGCCTTGCCCGACGGACCTGTCACTGTTGTCATTAGGAGAGGCCTCCAGCCACAGGGGACCGTGGCCACTGGGGACCCCTAGTGGACAGCACCAGTGCTGAAGCCAAAGTCAAGAGCATGCAGCTCCCATAACCCCAGAGCGGATTCTCAGGGTCTCTCTGCACACCCCACCCAGAGGGCTGGAGCCTTCCCGCTGGCCACTGCCCAGGGCCCCAGCCAGGGGGTCATCCCAGAAGTAAGAGCAAAGTTACACTGGGATGGCCGGTACAGACTGTTCAGAGAGTGCTTAATGCCAATACTGTGGTGCCATAATAAAGCAGATCTCTCAGAACTTGGTACAAAAGCCACGCCCTGCTTTACAAAGTCTCCCAAGTATTCGGATCCAGCCCAAAATGGCCACACCTCGGTTTTGCTCATGAATCGTGGGCGGGCCTTGGAGAATACCCCTCCACCTGGCCTCAGCTGGAGCCACAGGAAGGTCTGGGGCTGTCAATGCTGGTGGCAGCTGCAAACAGCCCTGGCCCTCACACTCACGGGTGGCCTCTCCCTGGGGCCAGGGTTCCCTCCATCCCAGTGTGGGTGTGTGGACTGCCAGGGTCACGAGCATCCCAGGAGTGTGAAGGCCAGGGAGGTCGAAGCTGCGCTCCTTGCTTTGGAAGTCCCATGGCACCACTTGTCCTGGACTCAACAGTCACAGGTGGTATGGATGCAATGCCTGGGTTTAAGGGCAGAGGAAATACGGGTGGATGGGGACAGTTTTGGAAAACAGTGTCCCACGGAATGTTTACAAAATGGCTTGGTTGGGTTGGGGAAGGCGTTAGGACCAGTAGGAAAGAGTGCAGGGAAGCTCCAGGTGTGGAGAGCTGTGCCTCCCACATAGCAGCCACCACAGCTCCTGCTCCACCAGCCACAGAGAGGAATTCATGCCAGGGCCCCTCCCAGGCAGCCCTGCCCTTGGCTTTGCTCGCTCAGGCCTCGCAGGGCTTCTGCTGATCCCCCCGAATTGGGCCGCGCTGGGATTGGTATTCGGGTCTCTATTTTCTGTTGAATTAGTGCAGGCAGAGATGCAGAGAGTGACTGCCCAGGGGCACCGTCTCTAAGTGGCAGGGCTCAGAGCAGGCATGTTTCCTGGCTCCTTGTCCAGCACTCAAACCAGTCAGACATGATGCGGGCAGATGCGTGTGGGTGCAGGGCACACACAGGGCTGCAAAAGGCAGCCCCGCCCTGGTAAGAGAAGCTGCCAGGGTCTGGGCCTCAGAGAAGCAGCATCAAAGCTCCCTGTGGCAGGTGCACCCGGCCCTGGTGGGGCTTGGGAGATGCACTCATGAGGCGTGGATCCAGGAGCGGTGCTTGGCAGAGTCGGGACACCGTACCCACTGAACGAGCTCTAAGTAAATCCAGTGTCCGATGAGGATGGCTTCCCGACATGGGTTGGTTGTGGGGTGAGCTTAATGCACGCTTGTGCGACAGGAGCTTCTCTTGCCTCTACTGTAAGCGTCCGTGTTCGGAAGCCGGCTCACATCTAAGCACATTCAGGACCCCTGGGGAATCCGGGTGGTCACCATCACACCGGGAGGGCTTTCCCACTTGGAGGAGCTCAGGCTTGGCCTCCAGGGAGTTCGCTGCACAGGCAGTTACAGGCAGGGTCTGAGGTCGGACACTGGGGCCACATCCCCGCCAGGACGGTGGAGGGCCCGAGGCGGCCCAGGGCACTGTTCGAGGGTCGGGCAGCCCTGTGCTGGCTTCCTGCTGAGACCTCTTCCGGGTGACAAGGCTGTGCTCCCTGGTCCTGCCCCTCAGGGTGGCCCAGGCAGGCTCGCAGCAGTGTCCAGGACTGGGGGGTGAGGGGTGGATTCCAGCCAGGGCTCCGGCGGGAGGAGGGAGAGCTCTGGGCTGCGAATGCCTCCTGGAGAGGAGCTTTTCTCCCCAGAGTCCCACATGCAGCCAGGTGCGGCTCGCTCCATTTCAAATCCCATCCGAGAGAACTCACTCCTGGGGTGGCGGATGGGGCCTGGGGCAGGTTCTCGCTGCTGAGTTTCAGTGCAGATCTGCCAGTTAACTCACACAGCGGGGCAGAAGACAGCAAAACAGCTGGTTCCGGTGGCAGATACAAGAGGAGAAGTGGAAGTGTTTTTCCGTCATTGTTTAAGCCATCGTTTTCCAAGCTGACATCCTTTCAAATGAGGAGGGAAATCTTACATGTATTAGAAACACATACGAGGGCCACATTAGAAAAATATACTGGGGGTTCTACAGCACGGGTTGGTCAATGTTCTAGATGTTAAAAGCGGCAGGACTTGGCTTCCGGTGTTGAGGACCATGACAAACCGCACGACATCGGCACATAATGGCCTATGACCCAGTGCATCACACGGGGCTGGGCGGAGTCCCTGCTGGTGCTGAGCTGAGGCTGGAGGAAGAGGTGTGAGTGGAGCCGTCCACACCCGCCCCGAGAAGGAGCAGGAGCAGGAGCAGGGGAGGGGGTGCTGCCGGCCCTGGCCACAGGTGTCTGGGTGCTGGCAGGCTCCCTGGTGCCCCTACACCCGGGGCTCCTCCTGGACTGCTGGGAGTTCTTGGCCACCAGGTTATGTCAGGCATGGAATTTCTTCACTGCCTTCTGGAGGTTGGCGTAAAAGCTGGCCATGCTGCGGGGGAAGAAGGAGTCCACCACGCTCTGAGGGAGGTAGCCACTGAGGTCGGTCTGGAAGAAGGTGACCACGCGAGTCTTGTCCGGCTCCCTGGGAAGACAAGAGCAGAACTTGGCCCAGAGAAGCACACATGACGGTGACCACACCTATCCCCTCCCTGGCGTCACTGCCCAGTGGGCCTGTTGGACCTGCTTTTTTAAGATGTGTCTACTGGGGCTGGCGCTGTGGCGTAGTGGGTGAAGTCCCAGCCTGCAGTGCTAGCATCCCATATGGGTGCCAGTTTGAGACCCAGCTGCTCCACTTCTGATCCAGCTCTGTGCTATGGCCTTGGAAAGCAGTAGAGGATGACCCAGGTCCTTGGGCCCCTGCACCCACGTGGGAGACCTGGAAGAAGCTCCTGGCTCCTGGCTTCAGATTGGTGCAGCTCCAGCCATTGTGGCCATTTGGGGAGTAAGCCAGAGGATGGAAGACCTCTGTTTCTCTCTCTCTCTCTCTAACACTGATTTTCAAATAAATAAATAAATCTTAAAAAAAAAGATGTATCTATTTACTTAAAAGACAGAGTTACAAAGAGACAGAGACAGAGAACTCTTCCATCCCCTGGTTCATTCCCCAAATGGCTGCAACAGCCAGGGCTGGGCCAGACTGAGACCAGGAGCTAGAAGCTTCTTCCAGGTCTCCTATGTGGGTGTAGCAGCCCAAGCGCTTGGGCCATCCTCTGCTGCTTTCCCAGGTGCATTAGCAGGGAGCTAGAAAGGAAGTGGAGCAGCCGGTTGTTGAAGCCACGTTCATATGGGATGCCAGTGCTGCAGGTAGTGACTTAACCTGCTACACCACAGCACTGGCCCCAACCTGTTTGCTTTCTTTTTTTTTTCCAAATTTTATTTAATAAATATAAATTTCTAAAGTACAACTTTTAATTATAGTGGCTTTTTCCTCCATAACCTCCCACCCACCCACAACCATCCCATCTCCCACTCCCTCTCCCATCCCATTCTTCATCATGATTCATTTTCAATTATCTTTATATACAGAAGATCCACTTAGTACATACTAAGTAAAGATTTCAACAGACTGCACCCACAAAGACACATGGTATAGAGTACTGTTTGAGCAGTAGTTTTACCGTTAATTCGCATAGTACAACACATTAAGGACAGAGATCCTACATGGGGAGTAAGTGCACAGTGACTCCTGTTGTTGATTTAACAATTGACACTCTTATTTATGATGTCAGTAATCACCCGAGGCACTTGTCATGAACTGCCAAGGCTATGGAAGCCTTTTGTGATCACAAACTCTATCAGTATTTAGACAAGGCCATAAGCAAAGTGGAAGTTCTCTCCTCCCATCAGAGAAAGGTACCTCCTTCTTTGATGGCATGTTCTTTCCGCTGGGATCTCACTCACAGAGATCTTTCATTTGGGTCATTTTTTTTTTTTTTCTTTTTGCCACAGTGTCTTGGCTTTCCATGCCTGTGAAACTCTCATGGGCTTTTTAGCCAGATCCAAATGCCTTAAGGGCTGATTCTGAGGCCAGAGTGCTGTTTAGGACATCTGCCATTTTATGAGTCTGCTGTGTATCCTGCTTCCCAATGTAGGATCATTTTCTCCTTTTTAATTCTATCAATTATTATTTGCAGACACTGGTCTTGTTTATGTACATGCTTGTTTTCAATGGATGCAGCCCCCTGCCCCTCCAGGCAGGGAAGAGTCCCTCCTTCCAGCCCAAGGAAGAGGTTCCCTCCTGCCTGACGGGTACAGGGAGCACCACCAAGAATGTGCCCCGTGGGGCAAGTGCTGTGGTGCAGTGGGTTAAGCTGCCTGTGACGCCGCATCCCAGATCAGAGAGCTGGTTCAAGTCCTGGCTGCTTCACTTCCAAGCCAGTTCCTTGCTAATGGCCTGGAAAAGCAGCAGAGGATGGCCCACAAGCTTGGGCCCCTGCACCCATGTGGGAGACCTGGATGGAGTTCCAGGCTCCTGGCTTCCGCCTGGCCCAACCCTGGCTGTTGTGGCCATTTGGAGAGTGAACCAGTAGATGGAAGACCTCTCTCTCTTCTCTCTCTGTAACTCTGCCTTTCAAATGAATTCAAATGAAATCTTAAAGACAAAAACAGAGAGGCACATCTCCCTGGACTGGTCCTTGGGAGGAAGAGACCACAGGTGCCGCCTCCCATTACTGAGGTCAGAGGTTGCCAAAGGGCCTGGGGGCTCCCAGGATGCTTTCAAGGGGTCTGCCAGGTCGAATCCATTTCCATAGCAACATGAAGACGTGCTCTGCCCCTTTCACAAGAGTCTCTCACGAGCACGTGGAGGCGACCCTGGGGGCTACCGGACATGTGACACCGCAACAGACCAGGTGTGGAAGCAGATGCTCCAGCCCGACATGAGAGGGATTTGCAAGGATGTAAAACGATGACGCCCTTCTCTCTGCTTTTGCTTGCAAAAAGTTAATTTCCAGAAAGTGTGTTTTACGGTACATAAACGTATTATCTTAAAGAATAGTTTTCCAATTGCCCAGTTTGAATTTCAAAGATATTAAATGGTGATAAGTCTGACCCACACCACCGAAAGCTTTTTCAAATCCTCAATGAAATTTAAAGCACCTCACGAAGCCTTAGACCAAAAAATGTGAGAACTGTTGCTTTAGACTCGAGGACTGACAAATGGCTTGAGCCTGGGGAAGGGGAGGGGACAGGGACATGGGCCAGGGCGTAGCAGAAGCTCCCAGGGAAAGAGAGGAGGGGGCATGGTGCCTTCTGCTCTCAGCGCACGCATCCCATCTAGGTGCTGGTTCGAGTCCCAGCTGCTCCACTTCTGATCCAGCTCTCTGCTATGGTCTGGGAAAGCAGTGGAAGATGGCCCAAGCCCTTGGGCCCCTGCATCTGCATGGGAGACCGGGAAGAAGCTCCTGGCTCCTGGCTTCAAATCAGCACAGCTCTGGCCATTGTGGCCATTTGGAGAGTGAACCAGCAGGTGGAAGACTTCTCTCTCTCTGTGTCTCCCTCTCACTGTCTAACTCTATCTCTTAGATACATAAAATCTTTAAAAAACAACAACAAAAAACTCCCACACTAGCCTCCTGGCCCCATCCATGCTGAGGCACACGAGGTTGTGTGTTCCCTGACCCCATCTCCAGAGAAGACAGCCACAGGGCTCAACTCCTCTGGAGAAGAGGCTCAAAGGACGGTCCCAAAATTCAGTGCGTGCACGCCTGTGTGTGTGTGTGTCAGACTGTGTGCATGTGTTGCTTGTGCACATGTGTGTATCATGGTATGTTCAAGGCTGTGTTCGAGAAAACCATTTCGCAACATGTTTGGAAAGTCAGCTTAGTAAACAGAGTGTGCCCCGGGGCACCAGCTCTGGGCTGTTAGGAAAACCCAATGGCAGCCAGGAGCGCTTCCTGGGACCATGGCGGGAACAGCCCAGGCCCTTGCTATCATCTGCAAGGGGCTGCAGGCCACCCCAGGACACACAGCAGGTGCAGCCTGGGCAGTTCCCAGGATCAGCCAGTGACCTGTATGCAGAAAGCTTCCGGTGCAAACTTGGCCGTGACCTGCGGGAACACGGGAACTCAGTTCTGAGGCGGGCTCAGTGTGGTCACAAAACAACCTTCTGCCCGGAGCTCCAGCTCAGCCCTGGGCAGTGGAGGCGGTCACTGCGTGGAATGCTGGCTGGGGACCTCCGGCCTCAGAGCCACTCCCGACTGGTGGCCGGGCCGGGGACAGCAGGGGAGAGCAGCCTCAGAGCTCAGACCGTGTAGTGCTCCCCGCCTGGCCTCTGACGCCGGCCACCTCACCTGACCTCCCCAAACCTCAGCATCCTCATTTGCTAAATGGGACGGTGGCATTTGCCCAACCTGCCCTTACAGAGTGGCAAGGATTTGCCGCAGCAAAAGCAGGAAGAGTCACCCCGTCCACTGGCTTAACCGGTCACCGGTGTGTGTGTGTGTGTGTGTGTGTGTGTGTGACGGCGGCACTGTGCAGCACCCAGGCCTGAGCACCCTGAGGCATTCTTCTTATGCTCACTTTGCACAAAGCACCCATTTTCCAGATGCCCACCGTGGAGCCCATCAGCCTTGGGATCTGCAGCTCAGCCCAGGAGCTCGTCCTTACCCCGGCACAGGTTCGCAGAAGCAGCCACACGGGTGGTTAAATCCTCTCACAAAACCTGCCCTCGGGGGGCATGCGGGATGTTCCACGTGGGTGGCTGGAAGACAGGGCAGAGGGGCCATGAGCAGCGGCTGCCGACACTGAGGGCAGCACCACGCAGGCCGCCCCACTCCCTCGGAGTCCCGGTGGTTGGAATAGGGCTCCTGCCATGCAGCCACGGTGGAGTTCCTTCCCACCCCCAGTGCCCCTTACGCTCACTCCCACACCAACTCCCACGCAATGCACACACATGCCTGCTCACGGCTTCCCCAAGCCTGCCAAGATAGTGCAGAAAAGAACCTTCCAGAATGCCAGGCTCAGGGGTGGGAGGAGGGAGGTGTCCGACATCTCCCCCAAAGTGGGAGACTCAGAGGAGGGACAGGACAGAAGGGAATGGACAGCTCCCCACCCTCCTGGAAGTTGAGCCCCGACGTGGCGGGTCACTGCGCAGATGCTGGGTGCTGCTCCATGATTGCCTGCACGTGCACGGCACCAGCTGTGAGCCTTGGCATTGGGGTGCTGACAAAATCTGCGACTCAACAGTAACAGGACTGGAGCACTGACTCTCCCACTCCAGACCCCTATGGCATAGGACCCCTCCAACCCAACAAGGCTCTGAGCCAGGGTCCCAGGGCCGGCTGGAGGAGCTGGGGGAGTCTGGAGCACCCCGGGCCGTCACTCACCGTTGGAACTGATGGTCCCGTCCTCATACGTCTTCACTAGCACCACATCCACAAAGTCCCTGGGAGAGATGAGCTTCATGGCGGCCGAGGGGGTGGAGGTCCTACTCACGCACAGGGTCTGTCAATCAAAGGGGCTCCTTGTGGCACCTGCTGGCCAGATGGCTGCTCCCCACCCCCACCGCCACCCCCACAGCCTGGGTCTTGCAAGGGAGGCCACACAGGGCTGTTGTGGCGGCTGTGGGCCCAGCCTCCAGGGAGGTAGGTGCCCAGGGCTGAAGATCCTGTGACACTTACTGTGACACTCACCTGTCCTACACAGGCACTGACATCGGCCAAAGCCCTGAGCATCTCGGAAGTCCCTACTGTGACTCCTTTCTACTTCTTTTTTTTTTTAATTTTTTTTTTTTAATTTTTTGACAGGCAGAGTGGACAGAGAGACAGACAGACAGAGAAAGAAAGGTCTTCCTTTGCTGTTGGTTCACCCTCCAATGGCCGCTGCGGCCAGCGCACCACGCTGATCCGATGGCAGGAGCCAGGTACTTATCCTGGTCTCCCATGGGGTGCAGGGCCCAAGCATTTGGGCCATCCTCCACTGCACTCCCTGGCCACAGCAGAGAGCTGGCCTGGAAGAGAGGCAACCGGGACAGAATCCGGTGCCCCGACCGGGACTAGAACCCCGAGTGCCGATGCCACAAGGCGGAGGATTAGCCTAGTGAGCCACGGCGCCGGCCAACTCCTTTCTACTTCAAGGCCCTAAAAGCACCCGGTGTCCTCCAAAGCCGTCTTTCACATTTTCGGGCACATTCCAGGTGCCTGGTGCACACCCTACCGTAGGAGCAGCACCTGCACAGACAGGTGATAAAGCCTCGGGGGTCACCGCATGCTTCATTCATTTCAACGCCAGGACCACTGGCCCCAGAGCAACCGAAGCCTTGGGACTTTAACCCACGACCTGTGTAGGAGCTTGTTCTGTCTGACCTGCACCTGTGTAGCTCGTACCCACCCCTACCTGTGGTGACAGGAAACTCCCCTCTTACACACGTCCGTTTCCCCCCAAAATAAGACACCCAATTTCCCCAGCTCGGTGAGTCATGGCTTTGCAAATCATCCCCTGTGCCCTCCTTATTTGCTGCCAGCAAGTCACTGATAAACTTGAACTTGGCAGCCCTGGGGACCAGCCGTTCCAGCCTTGGCCACTGGACTCCGTGATGACTCCCGTGGTGTGTTCCTTGGAACTCACCAGGCAGCCGTTCCCCAATTTTGAGTGGGTGAAGGCACCTGGCGCAGCTGGGAGCCTGGAGACCTGGAGTCACCAGGTGGCTCTGTGACTGCCACTTGTGGGAAACTGGATTTCGCCCCCAGGGTTGCAGGCCAAGGGCTCTGGGCAGGGAGCACAACATGAAACTGGCCTGGATAAGGATCCGCCCAGCCACGAGAGCAGCTGGAGGAAACAGCTCAGCACACCCCGCCCCAGCGCTGCCCCTACAAACTCCCAACCCTGGAACTCGAACTCACGCTCCTAGCAAAGCTAGATGAAAATATTCAACACAGCCGCCAGTCATCATCTCTGATGGCTTCCCGCCTGTTACAGTATCACTATAGTAAAAGGACCCTGGCTGCCACTCCCGCTCCCATCATGCACCTGCGGCCATGACCCTTCTGAGACTTCCAAAACAGGCCAGAGAATCGGCAGTCACCCAAGTCCCAGAAATCTTTACTCTCTCCTAGAAAACTGTGCCTGAGGGACCACCTCTTATGCCTTCAGAACACATACAGGGACCCCAGATAGTGTGGGTTGCAGCTCAGTGGAGCCTGCCTGCCCTTTGTCTTGAGTGTGTGCTTTTGCTCTGCCAGTAAACCTCATTCCTCTGCTAACCTTTATCTGCGTCTCGTCCTGGAATTCTTTCACACACTGCAGGCAAGAACCTGGATCCCTCAACAGCACACCACATTTAACCATGTTTATGGCAGCTTCGGCATCAGCCTATGGTTGAGCCCTGGGCCTTTCATGCTTTCTCCTGCCCCACCAAATCTTGGTAGAGGAAGAGTCAAATATGCTAAAAAGACGCAGCCACCTTTACTTTCAAAGAAAAAATTCTAGGCATTACGATATTTGTATTACACCTTAAAGGGCATGAATCCGTCTCCTCAACTTTAGTCTTAATTTGTGCACAGTTATTTGCATACTCTTTTCACAATTGTTGCTATCTCTGGTAGCACCTGTCTTGTTATTATTCACTTCTATGGTTCTCTAACTCAATTTTTGAAACTTATAGATACACTGAAAGGAGACCATTTCAGTCTCAGGTCCAAAAATCATGTCTGGTACCCCACAGTCCGGGCCCCATCTTTTAAGAAACACTGACACAAGCGCTGGAGGAGACAGGAACAGGAACAAAAGGTAGAATGTCAGTTCTTGGTCAAGACGTGAACGGCTGGTCCCCAGGACTGCCAAGTTCAAGGCACTATCTGCGTGAACACCCACAAGGTTACAGGGTGCAGAGGTCAACACCAGGACTCCATGCAAGCCAGCAGTGAACAGCATCTCCCCAGGCAATGCTCTTTAGTTTTGGTCATGACTTTTTTTTCCTCCTGAACTTCTAGACTGAAAATAAGGCAGGATTATAAAGCCACAGACGACCCCAGGGCTGGCTCATCTCTATGTCAGGTGGATACTTAAATTTATACGCAGCGTGGTTAAAAGTAAATAAAATTCACAATTCATCTGCTCAATATCAGCACCTTCAAATGCCCTGTGGTCACCACACCGGACGGGCAGCTGTGGGTTTTCAACCAGGCAGAAAAAGTTGTGCTGGGCAGGGTTAGCCAGCATGACACACAGTGTACCAGTGGAGACTGTCACGTAGAATCTGTCACCTGGCATAGCCCCATAGCTGGCAGACAAGCCCGGCTCCGTGGCCAGGGTTCTCGCGATGCATTATCACAGCCCCATCAAAGAACATTCAGCGCAGACTAATGAGCCAAATCCAGGCCCCATCTCATGTCCTCCGAGTTCATTCTGCACTTCCGCGTCACACTCTCTGGGCTCAGTTTAGGGCTTCTGGGCCTCTCCGAGTCACGTGGCTTCCCACCCGTCCCTGGTCCACCGTGGCGGGGCTCGAGAGTGACAAGCAGTGCACAGCCCGTGTCTGCAGGGCCCCCTGCTTGGCACAAGGTGTCAGGGACCTCCTCCAGAGGGGACAGGGTCAGGGACCCTGCACAAGGATGACACGCTTGCAAAGACTAACCTCAGTGATGCTCTCGATCACTTCAAAACTGGTCACGTTCTCATCCCACTTCTCCCGCAGGCCCCCCGCGGCCGGCCTGACACAGTCCCACACGGCCTCCGGGGTCCCGTGCACGATGCCTTCTCCTCGGTACCTGTGGCATGGACAGGAAGGCGACCTCAGGCGTCACTCCAACCGATTCTCTGGGGACTGCACCTCGGGGGGGGGGGGGGCACGTGGACCGGGCCAGGTCCCTGGCTGCTCTCTCGCACAGGCTTCCGGGAGGGGCAGAAATTCAGTCCCCCTGGCCTGCACAAACGGGCAGCCAGCTTTCTTGGGCATACGGTTTGCTGGAAAGGATTTGGTTAAAAACACAAGTGAAGGCTGTTCTGGTGGACTATTGATGAGTGGATCACAGGGTGGAGGGGTTTATTTATTGAAGACTTATTTAGTTATTTGACAGGCAGAGTCAGAGAGAGAGAGAGAGAAAGAGAGACAGAGACTGGGTCACTGCCCAAATGGCCTCAATGGCCAGGGCCGGGCCAGGCCTGGGTGCTGGGTCCCAAGCTCTTGGGCCACCCTCCACTGCTCTCTCAGGCGCAGGAGCAGGGAGCTAGGAGCCGGGCCAGGAACCAGCGGCTTCACCCGCGGGGCCGCAACGCGGGCCCCTGGTCGGAATCGTTTAGGAAGCAAGACCCGAGAGCCGGCAGGAAGGGCGCAGGTGGCACCCTGAGAAGCTCCGGGCGAGGCATGCACTTACAGGTTCCCTGCAAACGCCACAGATGGCCTCCAGGAAACTGAAACTCCATTCTGTCAAAAGGCACAGAATCGCAGAAGTTTAGCGCTGGGAGGGCTCCCGGCTCACCTGGGTCAGCCCCGTGTAGCACAGCACTGGGGACGGAGGCCTTGAGGGACGCGGCTCTCCGGGGTCGCCGCGGGGCCGGGCGCGGCTGGCGGGACCGGGAAAGAGCGAGCGGCGCTGCACCTGCGCGCCCCACCTCCGCGGCGGCTTCCAAACCACCTGGAAGGCCACCTGGCGTTCTGCTTCCTACAGCTCCGTGAGACTCCGGGATAAAATTCACAGGCAGGGAGGAAGCACAACCGCCCCCCCACCCCCCCACCCCCCCCGCGCCACGCCTCTCTCCAGGAGAGCGAGGAGCGGGGCCCGGCTTCCGGAGGTGGTCTCAGCCAGGTGACCTTGTACCCGTCTCTCCATGGGACCTCCCGGGATCGCTGCGATCGCCAGGGGCCCAGTGCTTCCCAGGGAGACCGCCCGCCGCGGAAGCCCTCGCGGTGCAGCCTCCTCCCTCCCCGGTGCGCCCAGAACAAGGCGACAGGTAGGGCTGGGGGCTTCAGGGACTGCTCCCCGCCCAGCTCTTCACTCACGCCTTCCCGGCATATCTTCCAGCCCGACGCGTCTCGCCGGTACCGGAGCACCTTCTCGGCCACCTCCTGGCCCATCTGTGCGGCCACCGCTGGGTCCATGGCGCGCGGAGAGGCGCCCGGCTGCGCGGCTGCGTCGGCAGCGCTGTCCCTGGGACGCCGGAAAACCCGGGCCGTGGGCGGAGCCTGGAGCCCGGCCCCCTCCCCAATATCGGCCCCGCCTCCGCTCCCGGGTTGGTCCGGGCCCTCTGAAGCATGCCGCTCCCGGCGTGGGATTGGCAGGGCTAGAGGAGGCGGGGCCTGGCTCTGCAGGTGGCGTCATCGCCGGGGCGGGTCGCTGGGGCCCCGCGCGCTCCAGGCGCTGTAGGGCGACCCGCTGTGTCCCGGGTCGCGGGCGGTGTCATAGGCTCGAGGGGGGACTTCCGTCCTGCGGTCTCAGCGATGCCCCAGGACGGTGGCTGCAGAGCCCCGGGGGAGAGCGAGGGCGCGCGGAGGCTGCGCAGGTGGAGGGGAGAGGGGGCCTGGCGGGGGCCTGGCGGGGTCTGGGGTCTCAGCGGCTGCCGCGCAGCTGAGAGAAGGAGGCAGGGTCCCAGGTCCCGCTCCGCTGGGCTCGGCCTGGATGGGAAGGGGTGGGACTGGGCATGCTTGGAGATCCCCGGGCGGAGACGCCCAGGGGCGCGGCCCCAGATCCTCGGTTCGCACGTCACTCAGTACACAAACCCACCCTGTAAGTGAGAAACCTCTAAGCAAGCCGAAGCTTGCCAGGCAGCCAGTACCGAGGAAGTAGCTCATTACACTTTAATTTTGATTTTCCAACCAGACTCCGGCTCTTTGAGCGGACGTATAAGCTTGCTCACTGTGCGGAGTGCTCCAACACATCGCATCATCTACTTGGCGGAAAAAAGTAGTGCAGCTACTGCAGGCGCAAAAAGACGCAGAACCTCACTCAGAGGACATCGCAAATTAAAACAAAGAGGCTCCTTTCACTGGTAGGAAAAGTATACCCTGTGTTGATGAGAGGGTAGACAAATGGTTACACGCAGTGAATGGAGAGTGTAGGTACGCGCTTCTGAGAGCAAGCTAACAGCAAATTGACTTGTTTTGTTCTTTGCTCCAACAGTTGGAGCTAAGTTGGGTAAGATCGCTCCTGCAACTGGGAACTTTCAATCGATTTGGCGAGGTATTCAATGGCGTTACAGGGCATCCAGCTGGTGGGATACTATGTAGCCTCTAAAGTAATATTGTGTACCCGGCAACATAACAGTATGTAGCCAGTGAAGAACAGCTGAAGCCAAGTAGGACTGGGGCAGGCGGGAATCGCCCCGCAGAGCTGAGGCGGGCATGGGAGTAGGTTGCTCACTCTCTGTAAAGGCGTGAATTGTGTCTGAGACCTAACTGAATACTGCCTAAGTTCTTACCTTTCCCCAAGAACTTGGTTTATGTATGGAGAATACTTCAAAAGTTTCATGAAAAAAAGAAATAGAATTCAAAGACAAGCTTATTTTAGTGCAAAAAGAACCCTTGAAATCCATGGGTTTCAACAAAGTTTTGCACTAATATAAATTTATCTTTGAACTCCATTTTCCACCAACTTGTACTCCGGTGTGTGTGTGTGTGTGTGTGTGTGTGAGCCTGGAGTGTGACGGACGGGCAGCAGTACGTAGACAAAAAGGCCGAGCCTTGGTTGCGCTGCCTGCTTTCCCATCCCAGAGGCCTCCTACTAGCCATGACCTTGGCAGCTCAGTGGCCAGCTCAGACTTTAGCATCCTCATTTGGAAAGTGAGAAATACAGGAGTACTGACCCATAGGCTTGACATGTGGCTAGATAATATTTTTGCTTTTTTGTTGTTGTTGTTGTGACAAGCAGAGTTAGACAGTGAGAGAGAGAGACAGAGGGAAAGGTCTTCCTTCCATTGGTTTACCTCCCAAATGGCGCACTGCACTGATCTGAAGCCAGGAGCCAGATGCCTCCTCCTGGTCTCCCATGCGGGTGCAGGGCCCAAGCACTTGGGCCATCCTCCACTGCCCTCCGGGGCCACAGCAGAGAGCTGGCCTGGAAGTGGAGCAACCGAGACAGAATCCGGCGCCCCGACCGGGACTAGAACCCGGTGCCCATATGGGATGCCGGTGCCACAGGCAGAGGATTAACCAAGTGAGCCACGGAGCCTGCCCTGGCAAGATAATTTAATATGTGAATAACAAATAAGTATTTGGCATACCGTAAACCTTGACGTATGAGGGCACTACGAAAAGTTCATGGAAAAATGGAATGAAAGTAAACGTTTATTCAATGCAAAAATGTTGAAATTTCTGCAAAAGTGGGATCTTCAGAAGTTTGCGGAAGATGCATATTATGAAAAAATCTGTGTGTGGATTTCAAAATGTTTGTATCCAAAGAAACTTATTTTTTAATTCAATTTCTGTGAACTTTTTGAAGTACCTTGGTATATACATATATATTTTATTATATATATATATAATGTATGTGTGTATCTTGAGTTAGAAAGAATTAGATGCTTATATATCTCTATGTCTTGTATATAGTTTATATATGTATATGTTTAGAATATTTACTTCCTGTAAGGTATAGAATAAGCTGTTAATAGTGGAGAATAATGCCAAAAGACATTTTCTTTTCATTTTATGTTGACACATGCCGTTTAATTATTTATTAATATGTAGGGTTTTTAATGAATAAAAAAGCCTCATTAAACAGTCCAAGAGAGGGCATTTGGCCTAGCAGTTGGCATGCTGATAGAGCATATCAGGGTGCCGGGGTTTGAGGCCCAGGTCCACTCTCAGTTCCAGGTTCCTGCTAACACAGGCTCTGGGAAGCCATAGTGATGGCTCAAGTAATTGGGTCCCTGCCATCGACATGATCTATGCAGGCAGAGGCTTAGCCTACTATGCCACAGCACTGGCCTCCAAGCCCAGAAGTCTTTGTCCTGACTCATTTCTACTTTCTGTCCCCTGGAAATTAAATGTTTACTGTTCGCAATCTGCAGCCACCCTGGATGGCCCCACACCCTACTGTGAGGGCCACGCCTGCACAAATGGGGCAGGAGGCAGCAAAGGTCGCCCACACTGCCTTTTCCTGCCAAGATCTCCCCACCCCGGCCCAGGGAGCTTAGGCCTTCTTACTGACCTGATCACATGGGTGTGTTAATTTTCTTCCCATGTCCTCGCCTCTCAAGGAGACAAGCGTTCTAAGGAGCAGGTGCACAAAGCGATAACAAAATGTATTCCAAAGATGAGAAAGTGAACACACATGCACACGTGAGCGTGAGTTGCCCCGCGTGGAGAAATACCCATTATGAGAGGGCTGGAGGATTGCCTGAGGGGAGAAGGGGTGGGGGGAGGAGAGAGAGGTGGCTCCTGTGCAGTCCCTGGCTGAGAGCCTCCTTCGAGACTGGCCCCTGTCATGAGGAAGGGCGTGGTGCCTCTACAGGTGTGAAGCTACCTGGGAATTTGGTGACACCTCCGCAAGTGCGACATGGAGCTCAATTTCCAGATTTTCCTCTCTTAGGTCCCAGATGAAGCAGGTGCTTCCTAGGAAAGGGGGCATTTTGATTGACAAGCAGGAGGATGAGAGTATATCTGGGGACTTGCAGTGACTTCCAGCTCACGCAGGCCGATACCAGCTGCCTGGTTGCACCATGCCGTTACCATACCCGTGATACACATCAAGACATGTTTCTTGGCTGCACCTGCAGGAGCTGTAGCCATGCGTATGTAGGATGAGAACTTCCCTTCTTGCCTATTCATTTCCCCCTAAAACAAGCAATGTTTGTTTCCTTTGCTCAGTGTGTCACTACTTGAGATGTCCCCTTATTTGCTGTACATAAAGTAGTTTCGGTGGAAATTCCTTGGGCTATTTCTTGATTGAACTTAGCAAGAAGTGGGGTCACGATTATGGGTGGGCTGCAAGATTATTATATTTTGGCCAGAAAGTATAGGAAAAATGTTCAATGTCCCTTAGCCGTTGGGGAAATGCAGTTCAAACACACAACGAGCTCACCTCACCCTGGTTAGAATGACTGTTAGAGAAAAGTAACAGATGATGGCAAGGATGTGGGGGAGGGTGAACTCATACACTGTTGGTGAGGATGTACAGTTACCATGGAGAGCTGTATGCAGATTTCTTTAAAAACCTAGACATAGACCTGCTACTTGATCCAGCAATCCCGCTACTGGGTCTATAACCGAAGGACATGAAGACATTGAATCATCAGAGATGCTGGCTCCTCCATAGTTAATTGTAGCACTGTTGGCGTTAGCCACAATATGGGACCAACCAAGGCCTGACATCAGATGAATGGATAAAGAAAACAGGGTAAGCACACATAATGGAATTCTATTCAGCCACAAAAAGGAATGATGTTCTGTCGTTTGCGGCAAACTGGGTTGGACTCAGAGGACATCAAGTTAAGGGAAATAAGCCAGACTCAGAAACACAAATACTGCTTGTTTTCCTTCATGTGGGGAAGCTTAAGGAGCTCAATGTGGGGGCCAGCCTTGTGGCGTAGTGGATTAAGCCGCCGCCTGCAACACCAGCATCTCACGTGGACGTTGGTTCGAGTCCCAGCTACTCCACTTCTGATTCAGCTCCCTGCTAATGTGCCTGGAAAAGCAGCAGAAAGGTCCAAGTGCTTGGGCCCCTGCACTCACATGGGTGACCCCGATGCAGTTCCTGGCTCCTGGCTTCAGCCTGATCCAACATTGCCAATGCAGCCATTTGAGAATGATCTAGAGGATGGAAGATGAGTGTGTGTGTGTGTGTGTGTGTGTGTATGCATGCAAAGCTTTCAAATAAATAAAATAAATGTTAAAGAAAAAAGATAAAAAGAACCTGGTGGCTGGCATTGTGGCACAGCAGGTCAGGCCAACACCTGCATGCTGGCATCCCATAGGAGCACTGGTATGAGTCCTGGCCTCTCCACTTCTGATCCAGGTCCCTGCTAATGCGCCTGGGAAAGCAATGGAACATGGCTCCTGGCTCTTGGCTTTGGCCACAATTGTAGCCATTTGGGGAGTGAACTGATGGATGGAAGATCTCTCTCTCTAATTCTGACTTTTAAATAAATAAATAAATAAATAAATAAATAAATTCCATCTGAACACAGAATGGTGATTTCTCAAGGGTGGGAGGGGTGGGGAACATGGAGGGAGCCTGGATAATGGGGT